CCTTCAAGACCTTTGACCGTGAAGGCCAAGGTTTCATTTCCGCTGCTGAGATGCGACATGTACTAACCGGATACGGTGAGTTCGGTTATAATACTAATTTTGACTCCTCACATACTAGGCGAACGTTTGGAAGATAGCGAGGTTGACCAGATTGTCAAATTCATTGACCTGAAAGAAGATATGGACGGCAACATCAAATACGAAGGTAGGTCTGCCTCCTCATGCTCACCGTATATTCACCTATTTCTTTCTGTAGAACTGATCAAGAAGGTCATGGCCGGTCCATCTACAAAATAAACGCCTCACCCATGATTCATCTTCCTCAACCACTCGCCGTCCACTCATACACACACTGTTTTCCCGCCCATCCTTGTCAAACATCCCATTCTACCCCAATCACCTCAATGTCATGATACGTCCCGCATCCCACTTTGAATTTGGACTGGCTCCCCGTGTCTGTGTGTGTATTTCGTGTTTCTAGTTTTCGACTGACTCATGCTTTTTGCTTAGCGTGTCCGAGATATGTCTGTATTCGATTCTCGTCTGTGTATGCACGGTCGGTCATGTTGTTCTGCTCCTCTACTGACTACCATCTATCCCCGTTACCTTCGTGTTACTCGTCAGGATGTTATCGATGTTTATTTGAACATCCTCTACACAACCACGTGCACTGACCGATACAATTTCGAAAGTGGTTGCCACTGATCCAAATTGATGTACTTTCTCTCTCTCTCTGTTTCGTCAGTGAGACAGACTGGACTAAATAGAAAAATTTATATTGCACCATGGCACCAATTGCTCACTTTGTCCCATCCTCGCATGCGGCCGTGATTTTGATGGCAATGTGAAAACAAGTGATGTTCACCGCTCAGAATGACCACCGAGATGTTTCCTTGATTGCTTGGTCTCATCAGCCGGTCAGGTATACCGTGCAACACAGACAAGATGTAAGTACAATATGCGGTTTATAACCCTCCACCCATCCCCGAGAAATTAACCCGGGCGAACATTCACGCACGCATACACACACATTCATGCCAGTTGCTGAACAATAAGTTTATTAAACCCCTTGTTTCGCCTTGGTTTCGGACTGTTGTTTATCTGGTTTGTCAGCTCTTATCAAACCGCATCTAATACACAATTCTTTGTTTATGGACACTGGTTTTATGATGATAACATGAGTGAATTGTCATAAATGAGCCTTTTACTTTTCATTTCTATCGGGTCAGAGCTGAATGAACTGCTTGGGATGTACTCGATATGCAAATTATAAGCATGCACTTGGACAAAGGAAGAAACCGTTGTGAACTACGATGACCACGGTGTCAAACAGTTTCAGTTGGTCTTCCAGAGTCTCAGTATGGTTGGTTACAGTTACTGGGGCCGTTATCCACCCGGTTAAAAAAAAACGGAGGAATTAGGCTACTAATAGAATGAGTCCTTTCATGGGATCAGAGGATTAAGGGATAACACGTTTTCCATGTCCGGTTGATCCTCATTAGTGGCTTTTGGCCGTGCATAGTCCTAGAATTCAAAGGAATACTTCGTGGTCACAAGACGATGCTCATTACCCCTTATCTAGTGGTGATACTTACTTTGTTATCGTTATTGCTGATGAAAACCAATCAGCTATGAACACAGCTATTAAACACATATGTTTATGCAACCGAATCTATTGCATTGGAGTTTTGGGTGATGATGTAAGACAATTAGGTGAAAGCGTGCGGTCTACACGTTTAAATTGCACCCCTGGCTGAATATGACAAACATGATCGACTTGCTATCTATTCGTACTGACAATATTTCAAACAGCTCGTACCTGGGCGCTTCAGCGCCAGTTGCTGAACTGATGCCAAAAATGTTCTTGTGAAATTCAGGGAATAATAGCAGTGCACACGTTTTCAGGCAACCATTAAACGGAATGCGAAAGAATGTAAAACACACTGAAGTAGGAGCAATCGGGCAATATCAAACACAGATCCATTTTTTCCCGAAAGAAACAAGTTACTACGGCTGATTGGTTCGATGCAAGACAACAAATTTTGAGGGGTCTTTGTTGGTAACTGTGAAGCTGCATGTGCCAACAGTAGCAGACGTATAAGGATTTTAATATTGTTTATAAAAAAGTTAAAAAGAGGCACCGCAAGCTTTGGTAATAGACCGCACAAAAAGCTCAGAAAATGATTCGGTCTTGGTGACGTAAATGAAACCGGAAATGTCTACCATCTAATGCAGCTCAGTAGAAATGGCCGGCACACTCATCATTGTCACACTCGAAATTCCTGTACTTATATAATATTAGATTGACCCAAGGTGAGTAAGGTACATTTAGTGAGCTATCCTCATATCCCATTACACTAATCATGAGATGTGTAAATACCTAATCATCTTGCATGTGCCAGGTTAAATCATGTAGTTCAAAATCAAGTCGTCTGAGATGTTGCGGTTGACTCTTTACTTCACACGTCTGAATTAACCGTTTCTCACCAAAACTTGCCCACTTTTCCAAGTGTAAAATTTACCGATTATTATCTAATTCACAATTAAAGGCTTCCCATTTTCAACAAGGCTTAAATTCCGAGTAATGTTCAAACCCAATAACGGTGGTTAGTAGCCTTTACTTTTATCGTTGTACGTATAGGAAAATTACGCTGTTTATGAATTGGTACCTATTTGGAGCCACATTACGGGTAAGCACTTGAGTTTCGTCAGACTTAGTGAGACAACATTGAAGTTGAGATAACATGTAGACAAAGCATGGAGTGATAATCCGTAGTTTCAGTACTTATAAAGTTATTTTGATGATTGATTTTGAGGACTGTGTCCGGGGGGACCAGTGAAGGATGAGTCAAACCGGTGTGTCTGATTCACAATCTTACTGGCCTTAGGCCACGGCAGCAGTAGGGCCTTGACAAATTGTTTTTTGGAACACAGTATGTGTTTATTCTCTTTGGTTATATATCCCCTACTGCTCCCTGGTTCAGTCGATGCTCACATCCCGCAGGAGTCCCAACAACTAACGATAAAATCGCTTTAATGGCACCAGCATTTAACTGGTTTAGGTTTTGATCCTCGAACCATCGCAAGAAATATAGAATTTTCAATTACTACAGAAAATCCAATTATAACATGGTAATAATATATCCAATGAATACATTAATTCAACAAGAATCCTCTAATCGTAGCAATTTCTTTGTCTATGTGCGTTACGGAATCATATTCGGCTAATCGTCACACGTGAACTATCTGAGAACTGTTTACTTGAGAACAAGAAATTCTGATAACCAATGCATTTGTACCTGGACATGCTTAATTGCAAGTGTGAAAATCATGCCAGCGCGACTAATATCACAGGCGACGGAAACTGTTGTTTGACAGCCAACTAACATCACCATACTGCTTTTCCATCTTTATTGGGTCTTTTGGGGAAGAGGCACATGACAATACCATAGGAAAGACATTGTGTCTGCTTGACTCAGTAACACTCATGTCAAGGCGGTGGTGTCCCGGTGGTAACGCCACCAAAGTATCACTCTGGAGATGTGTGTTCGTACACCACCGCCTGACTTTCACCATTAGGAATGGTGAATGGCAGCCCTTCGATTGGCCGCTACCTCCTTTTCTGAAAATACTAAATAATAAATAATAAAAAGTAAATTTCAAATGAAAATGTCTAAATATTAAGCATATTGCAGTTACCAGTTCTTTAAGTCACAATTGGAAAACTAACCGTTTACATTGAACCTTGTGCTTGAGAAGAGCTGGAAGTTGACAATCAGGTTGTCGATGTCAGCTCCACCCAAGATGCTGCATATCTATAATATGTTAGGATATTTTGCGTGATGGATTATTTGTTCTTATCTGAAAATGTCTACATAATGAAAGGTAATTTATGCATATAAATTGAACTCTGAACTTTGACTTATCGCTAAACTTAAAGACAAACTGATGCCTCTAGAGAACCATCGCACAAACCGCTTTTGGTCATTCTAAGTCCTGCAAACCTATTGATGTTCTTTGCTGATGTGAACTGGTAAATAATTTGGAATCATCTCGGTTGTGAACTCCTAATAATCTATCATAGAAGTCGAACTATGTGTCCGGATACTTCTTAGGACTTTACATTTTCATTAAATCTTTACACAGTCCTATTTTCGATTTTTGAATGTTGTCCAGCTGCATCACATTTTTACCCCTGTTTTGTACGCTAACTCAATGTCATTTCAAGTGATTACAACATCGGGACAGGCCGCGGACAGAACAGGTGATACTATACACGAATAAAACTCAATCGAACTCCTTTACCTTTTACTTTTTGTTCCCATGTAAACAGTCAAACCCGCTTTTGCGTGCAGTGCTTTCTAAAAAATAATCCCTTGCACGAATTCACTGAATCCGGCCGACCTCATCAACTTAGCGTTCATTCAGTGTACCATGTGGCAATTTATCTATCGATTGAACGGAAGCGGGTGAAACGAGTGGCGCACCAGGTCAGTTGGGTTTTTGCTTTCGCATGCAATAAATCTGGTGAGGTCACATGCGCTCGTTCTTCGTGGTCTCCAATTCGGATCAGACATTCGAGCGGCACGACAGTGGGCTGTTTTAACCACGGGAAAACGCATCGCTAGTCAATCAGCTACAACAGCAAATAATTTATTTTAACCTAAAAATAACCTCAACTACAAAAAAAGATTGCAATACCTCATTACTACTTAATCATGGACCCACTGGGAATGATGCCGTAACGGCTATGGTATCGGTTAAATTGCCAATGTAAAGTAAAATATCTTCATAGAAGAATGGTCTGGCTAATCTCAGTATCACCGTAATGGAATAATTTTTTAATCCCCTTTGTTAGTTGGTCTTATGCATAGTCGTTCTCTAACAGAAGTAACCGCTCTACACCGCCTCTGATGGCTTGGTCGCGTACTGCGCATTCCTGCCTACCTTTCGGTGCCCTCTTCGCACCTGCCGAGCAAGGCTGGAAGAATTGACGCGGCGGTCAGACCATGGCTTNGCTAGAGGCATGAAAAAGCTGGCTTCAGCTTTGGCTTCGGTTGGTGCAGCGAGCATTCCAGGTTGGGCCCAGGGGGAGAGGATTGTCGTTGGTGAGTGACGCTAAGAGATATGGCCCGGAATAGAAGTCAGTGGAGCAAATGCTGTATAATCTGCCTGTGGAAATCCCGTGCCCCGTAAAAAACAACAAACAACACAAATAATATCAAAAGTATACGGCGAAACACAAACAATTTTTTTTATCCCATTTATCTACCATTTTCCATATTTAACTGTCTCTC